CCCCAAAACCCCAAAACCCCAAAACCCCAAAACCCCAAAAGATTAATTCCGACCTAATATAAAATATTTATCAGCTAAATCACATTATGGGGGCTCAACCTTGTTGTTCCAGAAAGAAGAGCACTAACAAAAAGCATCCTAGTGTGACTGAGTTTATTATCAACCAGTCAGATCCTCTTTCAAGATCAATGACCATTAAACAGAGACATGAAAATACGAAGGATAAACTTAACAAGTTGGTTGGAGGAGGTCAAGATGATACCCCTCAAGGCCAAACTTCCAAAGAAGAGAGCTATAATTAATTTTATTGAAGCCAAAGATGTCATTAAATCAGGTAATTCTTCCTAATGAGGGTATATTCTTCTACTAGTAGTTTGGAGGAATATCGGGAATATACCTTGATACCAATGGAAAGTAAATACTAGGCACTTAATATACTTTACAATATGTTTTCCAAGCCTCTTAGGGTTTCTTTAGATAGCATGCAGGAGCTGATCTCGAAGTCACTAAATCTAACCCAGAGGAAGGCAAATTCACCCTTGCTGAGCCAGCCTTTTGGCAAGAGTAAGAAACAGCATAAAGCAAGAGGGTCATATAGCTATTCAAAAATAAAGAAGGATCCTACTAAGAAGGGTCAGATTGACCTTGATTCTGTAAAACGTAATTCCCAGACTTATCATTCTTTGTTTAAGAATTAATGAGGGATATAAGAGATCGAAGACAAAAAATTCTAGATTTTCAAGAAAATCAGCAAGGATGCACAGGTTGTCGAATCCATTCAAACCGGTTTCCTCCAAACTACTCTCTAGTTCTTCCTCCTCTAGTGAGACTGAAGTTGGTGGCTTCCATAATGTAGGGGAGATTGCCAATACTGTAAACTACAGGACTGAGAAAGCAGTGCACCTTAAGAATGGGAAACCAATTATCATAAAATATTTCAAGGTAATTATACTCGTCATCCTCTAGATAGCAGAAAGTTTAAAACTGGAGAGGCTTAAATTTTTCCAAAAATTATTCAGTGATTTTCAGACAATGTCCCGCTGCCAATTCCTAGTAAAGGTCAAAGACTTCAGACTAGATGAAGAGTCTAATAAGCTCATCATGATCCAAGAGCATTGAAATAAATTAATGGATTTGGAGTACTTCCTCGGTAACTACCAGAAGCAATACTTAAAGAAGCAGGACTCTAATGTAACGGAGAATTCTCCATACCTAGAGGCATCCAAGGTGAAGATAATCACGTTCCAGATCATGCAAGCACTAAAGACGTTAGCAGAGGTGAAAAGAAACCATGGGTGAGTGTAGATTTAATCTTGCATAGGAAGCTCTGCCTCTCAAATATATTTATCTCAAAATAAATACAAAATAAAGATATCTGATTACTGTATCCATAACGACCCGCTAGCAATTTCCTTTAATGATGGACAAGTTCTGGACTTGTTCAATCTTGGAGTCTGAATTCTCAAGATGCTGGGTCTTGCCACTCTTGAAGAAAGGTTTGATTTCTACAGGTATGACAAGAAAGAACTCAGGAAGCATTACAAATATGTAAGTTATCATTGATAAATAGCAGGTAAAAGACTGGAAATTACGAAATTTCCTTGATATCTTACTCATCAAGAAGAACTCTGACCTTGAGTTGGCGGATCTTCAGCCATTTTTACAAATTACAGATGATGACTTGGAATCAGTGTCCAGGCTCAGCATTGGGCAAAGTACGGATTCTAATTTGAGTAATTCTGTAAAATGAGATTTCACCTTCAAAAGTGATTCAGGTATGATTAGCTTAGAATTTATAGAAAACTCCAATGCAGCAAAAGTGACTGAGAGTGACAAAGTGGACCCAAATTTGCAAAAATTCCTCACTAATACATCTGAATCAACCAGTATGAACTACAAACCAGCGGAGATTCCTGGAAGTTTAATGCCTTCTGGAACTGAATTACCTCCGATTGACTCGCACAGGTGCTACCTTACTCTAATACTATAGAAGAGTCTATAAGCCGATTTCTGCAAAAGATGAGAGATCGATTCACCATGGTTTTGATCCAAACAATGGGAGCCATCATGAAGCAGAAGAAGAGGGTCTTTACTCCAGTGATTCAGAATCAAATAGTAACCTTAATATGACCTATAGAAAATCATCGAGGGGTCTTATTCAACGAAAATGATGATTTAAATATCTTAAAATAACGTTAACAAGAGAATCTCCCGTCTAAATTTCCCTGGAGTCAAAATCGGGAGGCTCTCCAAGGATGACTTCAACAACGAATACGAGAAGGAGCTGTACATGCTAGCAAAGTTTTACCAGAAGGAATAATTTCAATAATACTCCCAGAAAATGGGGTTTTGGGGTTTTGGGGTTTTGGGGTTTTGGGG